GGTCAGGTTCAGGTCAATTTTCGGGTCGCCGGTCGGGTAATTCGGGTCGGGTCAGGATTGCTAGGTAAAAAAAGCCTGCCAAAATTAACCTGCCAACTTGCATATTATTTCAGACATTCAAGTACCCTTGAATATTAATTGCTACTAGCAATTACAATATGCTTCGTCATTGATCATTTGGAATGTGAAGAGTTTCATGAATTTGTGATTTACTACATACAATTTGTGTTGAAACTTGAAAGTATACTTCACGTACTTTGTCAAATTGAGCCTTTCCTTAACCCGTTAACCTATCATGTAATTAAATTGATTATGTTTCAATATGCTCTGTTGGGCTTGGTAAAGTATTAACTACAGTGGGAAAGGATTGAGTTCAAGATGTGTTAGAATACTAACTTAGTAAGTCTTATGCCTAGAGTGAGCTATTAGTGTTGATGCTTGGCACATATATGTGCAATTAGCTGATATTTTTTCTAAGGTATTCTTGGTTACCTTGTTTCTTTTGCAGATATGTGATCAGTAATGCATGCAGCAAGCCTTTGTGGTATAAACAGAAGGACACTGATTTTCTTGTCCGTTTAGGTGTTGGGCAACACTCTCATCTCCACTGGATAGATACTACAAGGTATAGTGAACTAAAATGTGTTCGTGCTTTAAGTTTGGCACACAAAATCTGGCAATAATGAATTCAAAGAGTGACATACATGCTTAGTGAAGCTTGTGTGGCTTTAATTCCCCTACAAATGGATCTGCTCTTTTATGTATAAGGATAAAAGACTTTTAAGAAAGAATTTCTGTTTGTTGCTTCTCTAATGATGCTGCTGTGTTATGAGGTTTTTTTTTTTTTTTTTTTTTTTTTTTTCCAGCACTTAAATACAGCACCCTGACAGATCAGCAAGTTTGCTTGCTTTTGCTCTAATTGTTTGTTGAACCTGCTGCAGGGAGTTGCTTCTTACTGCCTGTTTTGATGAAACTGGATGTCAGTGGTCAGGCGGCTTTCATCCTGATCATCTGGGCGATACACAAGTGAAAATGCGGAATTATTTTTCTGGTGCATCAAATGTCATTCGAATTGAAGTACAGAATGCTGATGTCATTCAAGATGAGAAGATAATTGACAATGCCATTGGCAAGTCAGGAACAAATTTCATTCTTCTTTCTGATGATGACACAGGCTTCATGCCTTACAGAATTGATAATTTCACTAAGGAGGTATGTAGCTGTCTATTGACTGTCTTTTTTTTTTTTTGAAGAAAGTCTATTGACTGTCTTATTTAGAAAGATTGTTGAAATTTGTATTGTTTAGGACAAAGAAGCATAAGTGGTAGAATTTCTCATCATCTTGCTGGTAATGTAACTTGAAATAGTCTTAATGTGTACCCTCTGTCCCTATCCCTGTGTCAGAGTACCATTTTTTGTCATTTGTAGGGCGAAGTTAACTCACTACTTTTGGAATATATTTTCTTACTAGCTTAGGCCCCATGCAACCCATGTTGTTCCAAATTTTATAAATCATTACAATAATTAGCTAGTTCAACAATTTATTACCAAAAAAAAATTGTCTTTTTTTATGAAGTAATATAACTTTAATTAGTCATGAATACAAACTGACACAACCTATAACAAAGATATTGAGGTTATTGATAAATTAGAAATTGTATAAAATATGATAGTGATTTCAGGACTATAAGATATTTTGTTTTACTTTAAAACAATGAAGTAATTTTGTACATCAATTAGTGACTGTAAATAATCTATTATAAAATACATGATATTAAGAGAGTAAATTTTAAGTTGGTAACCGTAAGATATACAAAATTTAAAATTAAAATTGTGTAAATTTGTTTCTTAATAATAATATCCGCTTAATTTTATATAGGAAAAATTGCATTTTACCACCCCTCGATACACCACCCGTTTTTCTGTTTATTATATTTAACCACCCACAAAATCGCAAAATGTTCCATTTTTAAATAAAAACATCGATTTTCAAGCCAAAATTTACTCTTTTAAGGTTTTGGGAGTCATTTTGGCCCTTTTTGTTTGATTTGAATTTAAAATAGAAAAAACATTATTGGAAATGCCTCATTTTTGCATGCTAAGAATTACCTCAATTTGCGTGACACAAAATGAAGCATTTTCGATACTTTTTTTTTGGGTGTTTTTGACCTCAAATCGGACCCAAAGGGTCAAAATGACCTCCAAAACCTTAATAAAGCAAATTTTGGCACAAAATTTGATGATTTTTAGTTAAGAAGTGGTGAAATCTAACTTTTTGCGTTTTTGTAGGTAGTTCGATATAATGAACGAAAAATTAGGTGGTTAAATCAAAATAGGGTAGTTTGAGGGTGGAATACAATTAATCCTTTTATATATGTAATTGCAAATTTTTGTCTGGTGTATTAAATTTTGGAGGAAAAAAATTGCATTAAATGCACAAATTAAAATTTTATTTATATAAATGTCTGGAAGATTTGGAATATTTTTTAAAATTTTATTATACATGGAAGCAACATGATTATTAAATAGTAAATAAAATATAATAGTGAACTAAATTTTTTGCTATAAGATTCGCCTTTAGTATGTAGGTATAGATTCTTTGCTTATTTTTTTTCAAAAACCGGGATCTAGTATCCCATTTCTGAGAGAGAGACTTATTACTCCCTCGGTCCTAATTTATTCGCCTTTAGTATGTAGGTATAGATTCTTTGATATTGTTGGAGGAATGAAAGTATCTACTGCTCTAGAATTAAGCTCAAAAACGTTGAAACATGTCGGTATTTCTTTCGACTTTTTTTTTTAGAACAAAAAAATTAGGAAGTGTTATCTTGCAAAATAATTAAATAAAGATACAAAAATCCTTCTTGTCTTAAAAATGTTTAGCTATTTACCAACTAAACTGAAGGTCCATAATTATCTTCCTGTCATGTTTGTGCAATAAATATCAAAGGCAATAACATTATTTTTAAAAGTCAAGGTTTATTAGGGTTAATCTTTTTTCGTTTCACTCTCTCCTGTCATTTACCCCCTCTTCATTGTTGCTATATCCCTGCTCCTTCTGACACTCAGAGTACTGGTGATAGTGGGGATGAGGATACTACTGACACATAAAGTTTAAGGGGTTTGCAAAAACTTACCTCAACTAGGTCTACATGTGTACAAGACAACTGAAAAGGTTGTGTTTTGGTCATTCTGGTTGACTTCAATATGCATGTCAATAGCTGAAAAGGTTGGATCAGAGCATCATACATTCATACTGAAAAACTTTTGGAAGTCGTTTCTGTTGTGTACTTTTTTATTTTATAGCTATATATATTCCATACTTATTTCAAATTTGCAACTTTAAGGACTCCATCTTGATACAAACTGGGTAATTTTCTTTGTATCAAAAGGCAAAATTATAAGGAATTCCAGTGTCCATCATAACTTTACTTGAGAAAGTTTTCTTCCTTATTTTCACCATTTTTGTATATTAGTTTGTACTAAGCCCAATAGCCCTTTGATGCTCTGTTGTGGGGCTTTTAATGCCGGTACTAATATTTGTTAGTGTCAACCTTCTTCACTTCCAGCTCTTGGCTTGGTGTTAGTTATGCGTGCTTTTAATCTATTTTAGTTATACTGTCTACATTTTTATGTTTGAGCACTACAAATCTCCCTCGATACCAGTCAACTGGATGAACTAATTACTGCTATTGTATGGGATTTTGAATTGAACACAAATGACACTTTAAATTTTCAAATTTTATCATGTAAGCACTTGTTACTTGATTTTGATTATAGTAAGTTCACAATAAGCTTATGGATGGTGCTCGCATCCACCTTGCAGACACTGCGAATTTACCAACAGAAGTGTGAAACTCTGGAAACTATAGTCCATCCATACACTTCGTGCCCTTATGCTTGGGATGAGCCTTTTTTCCCCCATCGAGTGATTGTTGAGGTATGCAGTCTTTTCCATGTATTCTACTATTCCCCATTTTCCGGCTAATCCCTATCTTTTTGTCAAATTTTCTCAATCTAATTTACCATATCCAGTTTTATGTTTGTTTTAAGTTTTCTGTGATATTCTTCCTCTTGATTCTTTCATTTCTTCTGGAACCAGCCCACTCATTAGATTTGATATGTTATACCATTCCGATTAATGTTTCTCTTATTACTTAAATTTTGATATTGCTGCAAGATCCCTGGAAAGCGCACATTGGGGCGGCTGGGACCATATACCCTTGATGATGTAAAGGAATATCCACCTATAAAATTAGTGTCATCTTCAATGTCGTTAGAGGTACTTCATCTTTAGCCCAAATTTCTGCTTTGCTCATATCATGAACTTTTTCATGCAGCGCTTTATTTGAGAACAAATTGTCTTTCCATGCTGAAAAGCTTGGTGATGCTAATATTTTTACCTCTATCCAACATATTTATTGCTCTTTCTTTCTTTCTTCAATTTTTTATTTCTTTTTTTTTTGGATGTGGAGCAGAGGCATGAAAAGACATTGCTTTCATCAGTCCGTGCAGAGGGTGCAATAAAGGTAATGGTTATATGGTTCAGAATGTGTCCACGATCTATCTGTTCTGTAATCTTCACATGAGTAAATTTGTTTTTTACAGGTCCTCAGTATAATTGATTCAAGCTGTCATGTTTTGGAAGAGGTGAAAAGTCCAAGCTCAATTTTATCCGGGAAAAAAGAAAATAAAGGGGTGGAAATGAATATTGATTACAAGGAGAAAGTATCTGTCAAGATATCATTTATTGGGATCTCCTTGATGGACTCATCTCCTCAGGTATGCTTTTCATGGGATCATATGTGGCCTTATCCCAGCTTCAGCTAGTTTGTTTTCTGATCTCTTCTATATAATAATTATCAGGAGTTGCTTTATGCATCTGCAAAGGACATTAGATTTGATTTTCTCCAGAGTGTGGAGCGACAAAGTTTTTCCTTCCAAATCTTGTCGTTACAAATTGATAATCAATTGCGTGGTACACCATATCCAGTTGTTTTGTCTTTCGATGAAGACTTCAAAGGTAGCCTTGTCAGCCAAATGAGAAATAAAGATGGAGGAGCAAAGACTAAAATTGAAAGTATGATGACTTATGCTGTTGGGATCTCTTCTGAACCTAAGTTATATTTGGCGGCTTCAAAATGGAGGAATAAAGAGATGATGTTGCTTTCATTTGAATACATAAGCTTAAGGTTTGTGCAGTATCATTCAATGTTCTGTCAGATATATTCGCCAAATAATCCTTGTAGACTTACCATTTATATTGTTTACAGGATTGGAGATCTATCTCTTGAGCTAGATTTGGAGCTACTTTTGAAGCTGCTTGAGTTTATTAAGGCTATCCCTTTGTTAAATTCTGATAATCCAGCTTCAGTAACATTGAATGATGATTTATGCAAGCTGGGTGTAGTGGACAGATCTTTTTCTTTTGCTCCACAGAATTCTGAATATTTGCAAACCAATGGGGATCATCAGTTCCCTAAGAATCTGTATACTCTATCTGATAATCACACCAATACCCCATTATTGCCAGAAGTAGTTCCTATAGGAGCTCCTTGGCAGAAAATTTTTCTTCTGGCCAGAAGACAGGATAAGATTTATGTTGAAGCTTTTTCTTTGGCTCCTGTTAAAATGACTTTGAGGTATACAATCAATTGTCTCAGGATTTTTCTCTTAATTTCTTCTACCTGTATTTCTCTTTTGATTACATTTGATGAACCTGCAGTTTTTCAAGCAATCCATGGATGCTAAAATCAGCAGGTTTGTCATCTGGTGAATCTCTCATCCATGTAAGTCCCTGAGATTTAGCATCTGAAACTAAGATTTTGGTGCTTTCTGTGATAGATACTAGTGTTTTATTTTCCTATATTCAGTTGTGGAACTTTCCCTTTCTTCATCTTTAAATGGTTGTTTACCAAATTATAACATGATTGTATGAAATCTTGATAATCATACAAGTGTTTGAGCATAGTTTTTTTTTATGTTTCTATATGAGGAAAGTGGGAAGTATTCTGATTTGAATAAAAGGAAGGCAAACTAAAATGTTTTCAACAATAGAGTGAAATCTTTAATTTTCCAACCCCCCTCTTCCTGCCAGGTGAAAACTGTTGTCCTGTCTCCTGTAGTGCCATCCAAGCTAACAATATAATTACTTAGTGTACAATTAGTTTAGTGTGAACCTCAACAAATACTCATCCATCCTATGAATACCGTCATTCTGTCTTACAGTGTTTTTAAGTCAGTTCGAATTTGAAATACTCCCTTCGTGTCTGTTTAATTTACACACTTACCTTTTCAAGGTTACCAAAAAAGGCATGTTAATATGAGCAAAAAAGTGTGAAAGTGACATGTAAATATTATTATATGTAAGAGTAAAAGTGGTGGGTCTCTTATCTAAAAATAGTAAGTTAAAAGTGGATAAATTAATCATTCTAAAAAGGAAAGTAAACTTAAAGAAAACAGAGGGAGTATAAATTTTCAGTCTGCTTGTGTTGTTGGCTAAATGTTGCTACAATCTAGATTGGTTTCTTATTGTTTAGCTTTGTAATCCTAAGTTGTTTCCTCAATACTGATTACTGATGTACATCACAAAGAAAGTTTTTTAGAAGAGTAGAAAAGAGGTAGTTTAATCTTTAACTTGTGATTAAACATTTATAAAGATGCCTGTGGACCAAAGTGTAGGAAAATATCTATTTTTGGTGAAGACTATGCATAAGTTTGTGTTAACTACTATGCAGCAGCTTCCTTGGATCTGCAAATAATGTACCTTGATCTCTGATACCAATTTTACATAAATTGGAAAAATATAACTCTCTTCTCAGTTCTAAAACTTAGGGTCCCATGATCTCTATCTCATTAGATGATTATCCTACTATCTCTGTCACATCTACCTTTTTTTTACATAAATAACCTTTGATAGTCAAACACCCACTTATTGCTTAAAACGATGTGCTATGATAAGTGAGCAAGCTAAATTTGGTTGTAGAGAGTAGAACTCAATTGGCTCTTATAATTTTTGCTGTCTGATATATGCCTTTGCAGTCGCAAGCTGCTCATGTAATGATATACCTAATATCAAAGCACAAGCCAGCTATTGAGGTTCAATATAGTTCCTATATGGCTTATGACCCTGTGGTGATATTTCATGGTCAAGGATTAGTTTTGCATGGAGCTTTTAAACATTTAATTTGCCCTAGTTTTTAAAGCATTCTGTAGGATAAGCCTGTATGTCTCTTGACTTATTATCTTATGCTCACAGAGAGGTATTATGGCTCTTGCTGATGTTGAAGGAGCGCAAGTATGCCTCAAGGAACTGACCATTACACATCATATGGCTAGCTGGGGATCCATTCAAGAAATCCTCCTCAAGCATTACAGTAGGCAATTTCTTCATGAGATGTACAAGGTACTGCACCTTGTTTGTGTGCCAGTAATAATTTACTTATATCATGCATGTTATATTTTGGGACTAAGGCTTTGTCGTTGTTGTTGTATCATGCATGTTACAGTTTCAGTTTGTTAAAATAAGAAGCGCTTGTAATTATTCAATCCATATCTAAACTGTTTTTCTACTTTTTTTGATGTATGCTTCCTCAGTTCCTTTTTTTTATTAGTTACTTTACTTGAAACACTTTCCATTTTGGGAAATGTTGTATTTCGTATTACTTGCAATATTACTACATTTGGTAATATTTATGCAGTAAAATACCATTGTTACCCTTATTTTATTTTCCAACATTTCCTCCCTCTCTCCTTACCTGCTCTTTCCCAAGCTCAACTAATCCAACCACCAGATTCCACCTCACCTATATTACTCCAGCCACAACTGATGTCAAGCATGCCACTGTTGATCTCAACAGCCACCACTCACCAGTGCCTGCCCCCACCATTCTCAATACTAGTAATAGTAAAGAACAGAAAAGAGAAAGAAACCCCCTATCGTCATTGTCAAAAGGTATATGTCCTTTTGTGTTTACAGTTTGCAATACCACTATTTTTGCACATTAAGAAGGATTTTTTTTTATTTTTTTTTTATTTTTTTTGGGGGGGGGGGTGAAACCAACATTTAGTGAATTTAGGTGAAGGCCTAGACCAGCTCATTCCATCTGCTTATGTGGCATTTGTCTGTTAGAACCTGCCGTGGGGCTATTACTAACTTTACAATCGGAAGTTGCTTATGTTGATTGCTAAATTCAGCTGTTCACTGTAATGTGCCTTGCAAAGGATACATTTAACAATAGTGAGAGTGGATTTCGATCCTATCTCACAATCAAATACAATTTATGGTCCCAATTTGCCACTTTTTTTTTCTAAAATGTCTTTTCTTACAAATTTTCCTATCATATACTTCCTCTGTTTTTTAATACTTGGAACACACCCTTTTTTCACGGTAATTAAGAAAAGTGGGTTTCACGTGATTTAATACACTTAAAATGAGGTTGAGAGATTGTTAGGGGTATTGAGCCAAGAGCTTTAAATAAGGGTAACTTTTACCAAAAAAAAAATTAATTATAGTGTTTTGCAAATATTATGACATTTCCATTTTAGGAAAGTGTTGCAAGTATTAAAAACAGAGGAAGTACATGTTTTGCTTTGAGATAAGAGGATCAGAATAATGGAAACATCAGTTTGTTGCAGAACTGTTTAACCATTTGTAGGAAGTTGCTTAGTTGATAATTCTATTCAATATCGAATTTTTTTTTTCTGCTAGGTGTACTCTTATTTAGGTAACCATGTCTTTATTGAACTATTACTTTAAAGAAAATTCTATCATAATGCTGATATTTTTGCTATTTATGAGTCAGGTGTTTGGGTCTGCTGGTGTGATTGGAAATCCAATGGGCTTTGCTAGAAGGGTTGGGCTTGGAGTCAAGGACTTCTTTTCCGTTCCAGCAAAAGGAGCTCTGCAGGTATATAATGAGTTGAGGATGGCATGAACTTACTGATAACAAATATTGTTTTTGGTTCATTCTTATTTTTGCAACTAGAGTGCTTCCTTTTGCAAAAACGATAATCTTTAATAATGCTCTGGATATATCCTTTGCCAATATAAAGATAATCTTTGATAGTTATTGGGAAATTAGTGGAGATAGATAGTATTGGGGAGGTTACTTAAAAAAAAATTAAAAAAAAAAAAAAAGAAGAAGAAAGAAAGTGTAGTTGAGGATTTGGTTTTGGTGCAAGCTGGATAAAACTGATATTGTTATTTATACTAGAATGTCCATGCTAATTCGCATGATATATACTTTATGGAAAGTACAATATAGGAAGTTATAGGGAAGATAATGGGATTGATAGTTATTTGGGGATTTTCTTTGTTTTTTGTTAAAAAAAAAAAAAAAAAAAAAAAGATAAATTGAGGGTGGAGTTTGTAGAATTTGGAGGTTTGTAGTTAATAATTAGGAAAATGGCTCCTCTATTATCATGTAAGACTAGTGTATGCCTGGGACATTGAAAACATAGAAAAATAAAAGGATATTTATTGAAAAGGAAAAATTGGTAAAAATAATCCCAACTTTTGCTCGTTCGCTCAAAATAATCCCAACTTTGGATTATTTTTAAATAATCCGAACTTTATAGGTAATTCGCTCAAAATGGTCCTAACCGGTCACCTAGTGACACGTGTCACCATGTAATGGTTGGAAAAATATAAAAAAGATAAAACTTATTTAAAAAAAACAAAGAAAAAGTTAAAAAAATAAAAAAAATTAACAGTTCCACCCACAATCACCCTTCCCACCACCAGCCACGGCCGCCTCCCGGATCCCCCCTCTCCCGCAGGCGCCCAAACACCCCTCCCCCGCGCCTGCGCCGGCGATGCCCCTCCCCTACCCCTTGAACACCCCTGTAATACACCGCCACCCCCGCCGCGAGCAGCACCCTTACAAACACACATCAACCACAACCACCACGAAACCACCATTTAGCAGCCCCGCAACACCGCACAACCCGCAACACCAAATAACCACCATCACCACCAGCCTTTTAGCCTAAACCGTCAGCTGCAAGACCCATCTCCACCTCATCACCGTCAGTCGCAACACCCATCTCCACCGCACTGCCATTTTCGCCCATATTAAGCATCACAGCCCCCGCAATCACCAATTTGCCACCTGCAATCAACAATTCAACCACCACGAAACCACCTCAACTCGCAGCACAACCTACAACCGCCGAACTTCCTGCAACCCAGCAACATTAAATCAGTGATTCGACCTTCACCAATCAACAATTTGGGGTGGGAATTGGGTCGTGCAGGAGGTAGGGGAAGGGCGGCGCAAGGGAGGTGGGTTTGGGGGTGGCGTCGACGGTAGGAGGCGGGGGACCGGCCGACCCTGGGCTTTTAGGAGGGGTTTAGGTGTGCTGGGGACTGGGGTTGCGTGGCTGGGTGGGGCTTTTTTTTGTTTTTATTTTTTTTTAAATAATTTGTTTTCAATCAATCATGTGGTGTCACATGTCACTTAAATTTAAAAAAAAAAAATTATCTCTTTATCACGTTACCGGTCTCTAGGGATCATTTTGAGCGAATGACCCCTAAAGTTCGGATTATTTAAAAATAATCCATAGTTCAGATTATTTTGGGCGAACGAGCTATAGTTAGGATTATTTTTATCAATTTTTCCTATTGAAAACCTAAAGGGGTTGAATTATATATATTGCACTAATTTAATAAATAAAAAATAAGTGTTTCTTTGCACTATAAAAACAGGGTTAATCTTTTTGTTGTTTGAAAAATTAGTTGCGCTATTTTATATATTTTTTTGTAACTTTCATCTTGGGAGGTAATTGTACCCAATTTAAGTTTATAATTTTAGATTTATTTAATTGTTTTTTGGGGGTTGGTGTTTGGGGGTCGAATAGGGAGTTTTGAATGTTTATGGAGAGATTACATAATGTTTGAGGGTTGGTGTTATGGAGGTTGTGGTCAAACTTTCTGATTTATATATTGATTATTTTGTTATCATTCTAAATTTCTAATCAAAGCTAGTTTCTTGTCATCAAAAAAAAAAAAAAAAAAAAAATCAAAGCTAGTTTTTTTTTTTTTTTTTTTTTTTTTTTTTTTTTTTTTTTTAATGTTACTATCACCTTGGGGATTATCATACCCAATTTTAATAATTTATCAAATTTAGATTTATTTGATTTTTTTTTTTAGGTTTGGGGTGGTTTGAGCCTTGAGGGGGGTAGGGAGTTTTGAATGTTTATGGAGAGATTGCATAATGTTTGAGGATTGGTATTTTGGAGCTTTGTGGTTGAACTTTCTGATTTATATATTGATTATTATGTAATCATTCTAATCAAAGCTACTTTCCATTTAGCAGAGTCCTTCTGGGCTGATCTCTGGAATGGCCCAAGGCACTAGTAGCCTGCTTAGTAACACACTCTATGCTATGAGTGATACTGCAACACAGTTCAGTAAAGCTGCTCATAAGGTACATAGTAATCAATCATAGGCAATTAGATGGGTAAAAAATGCAGTTTGGTAACTAATAAATTTGTGCCTCTAGGGAATTGTTGCTTTTACATTTGACAACCATGATGCCTCAAAACTGGAACAGCAAAGGGTGGTTACTACATCTCGGAGCAAAGGCGTAATAAATGAATTGTTTGAGGTATGTTAAAGCAAAGCTACTTTAAGCTTCCTTTGATATTCTCTTCATGCTAATAAAAACCCACTTTACAATCAATTATATCTTTTCTCCAGGGACTAACTGGTCTTCTGCAATCGCCTATCAAAGGAGCTGAGAAGCATGGACTGCCGGGGGTTCTATCAGGTATCTCTTATTGGAAGTTGTATAGTGGCATTATCCTTAGAAAAATTTACAGAATAACGCCCCTGTATATAACACTGACAACTGTAAATGAAAAAGTCAAAATGAAATTCCGAAGTTACTATCCTCTACTGAGACTGCCACTGATTTACTCATGGAAATTTAGAGGTGATAAACCATAATCAACATTAGTTAGACGTTGCTGTCGTTGACGATTAAAAAACTTTTCCCAAGTATGAATTAATTGTTTTGCTCCAAAAACATCCTTAACTTCTTTTATCACAATTCAGCCTCTATACAAGCTATTTCCCAATTTGGAGCCTTTTATAGTTAACTTTACTAATGACTATTACTTTAATATACTTCGATGGATATCTGATAAACTTTACCTCCCTTCACACAGCATGCATCTATATGGCATCATGTCGGTTTTCGGAATCAACAGCCTTTGTTATGCTTGTATAATATTCCTAATAGATATCCTGGATGGAAAGAGAGTTTAATGGTAAAGAGAGGGATAAAGCATGGAAAATGAGGAGGGATCCAGGGCATGGAAAACAAATTTGATAAGAAATAGAATTTAATTCAGCTGGAAAAAAAAGTGTGCAAAGAAAGAGAACAAGCTATTAATTTCTTTGAACCTCCCTCAATCAAATGCTACATATTTTTTCTTGCAATACTTTGACTTATGCACGATTCATCTATCCCCCTTTGACTGACTTTGATGATTTGTAGTTAAAGAAAAATATAGTCACGTGGGATCTTGTTAGATTTGCCTCGATTATAGTTTCATAATATTAAATTTTTTATAATTTATGCATATTGGTAATTAAAGATATTAGTGATTGGAATAATGCAATGGCAAGCGTAAAATGAGAAGTTTTGCAAGTAAAATTTTTTTTTTAAAAAATGTAGCTCTTAAAAGTTCCAACAACACCTTAGCCTATAAAAACACTCCTAGACTCATCAGATGATGATTAAGTTCACGACAAGATACGGTAGCTCCAATCCAAAAAATGAGTTTGCATGGAGTCCTAGGCAAAGTTTGTTTGTAAGTGTTGAATGGCGAGAGAAAGATAATGATACATGTGATGAGGAGAGAGATAGAGAGAAATGACAATTTAAACATTTGTTGCACATAATGTGTAGCAACCTTTATTAGTTAATGTTACACAGAATATAAAAACGAAGGTAGATTTATGATTTCATGACACATCTAATAAGGTAAATCTAATATTGATTTGCATCTGCAACCATGACATGCAGGAGAGAAACACTTGAATTTGTGGAAAAGGAAATCATGTTAGCTTTTTCGAGTTGCTGAATTTTGTTACTTCTTGTACTGCAGGATTTGCCTTGGGTGTTACTGGGCTTGTGGCAAAACCTGCGGCTAGTGTACTTGAAGCTACCGGAAGGACTGCACAAAGTATAAGAAATCGGAGTAGGCTTTACCGAACAGGACCGCATCACTTGCGTGTCCGTCTTCCCAGGGCTTTGAGTGCAGAATTGCCCCTCGGATGCTATTCTTGGGATGAAGCGATTGGTACAGCTGTGCTCTTGGAGGTCGATGGTTCAAAATTCAGGGATGAGGTGCTAGTAATGTGCAAAGCACTGCAGGTTGCCGGGGAATTTGTTGTTCTTACTGAAAAACTCATCTTGATTATTGAATGTTCTTGTTTAGTAGATCTGGGAAAGGCAGTGTTTCAAGGAATTGTTGCAGAACCGGAGTGGAAACTGGTAGCTGAAATTGCTTTGGAGAGTGTGATACATCATAAAGTCGATGGAAAGGTTATGCACATTGTTGGAAGCAGTTCGGAAGCCCTGATTGGGAAAAATCAGCATCATCACCATAGATGGACTGGAGGTAGGATGAAGCTATGGAGTAAATCTCCAAATCCACTTCCACTCTTTCAGACTGATTTGGAATTCGCTTCCAAGGAAGAGGCTGAGTACTTCCTGGAAGTTTTGTCGTCTACAATCAAGAAGGGGAGAGAGCAAGGTTGGGGAAAGATGTACCTTCTCCACCAAAGTAATTTAAGAAGGTGAATAGTCCATTTTCTTGCATTGTAAATTTGTAGGTATTTGTAAGAATTGTAACCTGTAAATCCACCCAATTTTGAATCTTCATGTTTCCTTGCTGTTGATTGCAGAGCTAGCTTATGTGTCTCGATTGCACACATTTTGTAAATACGAAGTACAGTATATAGGATTATGTACATACATTAATCACCTTTTATATGTTCATCCAAGTTTTTTTATATTTGAAATTTTCATTAAGATTGATTCACCCAAGATATATCATCATATATACTTAACCAATGTTTTGGGTGAGACAATCGCACATCTACTTATGCACGTTCTGATTTCTGGTCAGATAAATGTTTTTCGGAAATGTTTTGAGTTTGTACTTTTTGAGTTTGTTCTCGGAAATGTTTAAAGTGAAATAGTACAGTACCTTTTATTTTAAACCTCTTATTTGGATATGCACAGTAAATTTGACCAATTAGTGAGACAACCTTTACTAATTTTAAAAAAAAAAAAATATTATAGTATGGTTAGTAAGAGGATATACATACAATTATACTATAACCACTTAACCAGGAGTAAGTATTATATACTCCTGGATCATGGTACTCCATACCTAATACTTGAGTTATTTTGCCTAAACCTTATTTTGCTTAAATCTTGTGTTATTTTGCTAAAACAATATGTTATTTACTTATTTACTTCAACATGTATAAAAAACAGCATGCATGTATTAAATAACTTGTACTTATTTAATAATAACATATATATAAATTGAAATAATAAGTTCACATCAAAATAACATGAATTTTATAAACCTAGAGTACAGTGAAATGATTGACGTTGAATACAAAAAAACAACATGCAAGTATAAAATAACATGTACTCATTTAAAAATAACATATATATATAAATTGAAATAATAAGAAGTTCACATCAAAATAACATAAATTTTATAAACCTGGAGTACCTTGTTACTCCACGAGTAAGATAGAAATTGCGCCTAACCAGTAATCCGTATGTCTGTTTTTCTTTCATTAGGAGGAGATATTTGATCCTATAATCATTAAGATCATGTTCGACAAAACGTTGACATAGAAGAAACTATGATATTAGCTACAAGAATAACTATTAGTTGTGCGTTGTGCAAGTAGCCGTTAACTGTCAATTAGTTCTTATTAAAAATTTCAAAAAAAAAAAAAAAAAAAAGTTCTTATTAAAACACAAAAAAAAAATATCGACTAGCTTTATTTTTCAAAAGTTACTCAATGTGTTGGTTTCCAAGGATACCTAAGGGTGCACCAGTACGAACAGTGGAAGAGTGGGACTATGGAGGGGTTAAACGAGGGAGAGGGAGACTGAAAATGACTTGGTTGGAAAGAGTTAGGAAAGATATGAAGCGTATGGATTTCCGTGAGGATGAGGCATTGAATCGTAAAGGATGGAGGAGGAAGATTTTTGTTGACAACTATACGGAATAATCACTTTTGATTCATGTAACCGACCCCATTTATAGGATTAAGGCTTTGATTGATTGATTGATGTGTTGGTTTCCAAACTAATTCCCTTACAATATCCACTTTTTTATTTTATTTTTTGATAGTCTAAAACCGCCAATATCTATTTTTCTAAAAAAAATAAAAAATTGATATAACCTCTACTGATATTAGACAAATAGAGGTTTTAAAACCACTACTGGTGGAATGTTTGAGATTTAAGCTAACTAAAGTAGTTAGAAAATTGACATCATGTATTAAACTGTTGATGCCATTAGCAATTTTACTTGGTGATGAACAATACCATTGGCGGTAAGAATAAGGAGGGAGCCCCACTTTTATCGTCATGATAAACATGGATTGTCTTGTCTTGAAATTCGTATAAATTGATTAAAATAATAATTTCTTTGACTTAGTGTCTTTCAGCGGTCTATTTTCTTCAATTTGTAAAATTAACGAACATTACTCCGTGAATGCTTCTTTCTTCATTCCTCTTCTTCCCCATTGAAATTGACTTCTGCTTCCTCCATCTTCTTCTTCCTTCCGCATTCTCCACCCCTTCCACACCACCATCTTCGGTGGCTTCGTTGCCAAATTCACGTATTTCATTAGAAGAATCATCAACACACGTTAATATTAAAGACATTTGTTCTTGATGACGAGCATAAGATGTACAATCTAACATCACAGAAAAATAATTGGCTTCTTTGACTTTCATAATAATATTGGATCTAATTCTAGAAGAAAGTACGACAATCAATTCATTTCGAATATCATGAGTCAAGTAATGATGATGAATCTTGCCACTTTTAATACGTTCAACGTGCTCTTTCAATTTCTAGGATCATAAAAAGATCTATTATGTTCAACATTGTCCTCCCTGTTCTTATTTTCCTGTTCAACATTCTCACAATCAACATTACCATCATATAATTCTTCATTAGGATTAACAGAATTTTCACCTTCTTTAGGTTCCTTTTAACAAAAAAATTTCTAAAGCACCTTTTTGAGATTTAATAAGTTGCTCAACTCTTTTTTTCCGTCCATCATGTCCAGATTGGTATTTGTGAAACATGATAAATAAACAGAAAATTAATTATAATTAGATAAGTAAACAAATATTGAAAATTAAAATTAAATAGAGAGATAAGATAACACCAGGAATTAGAGATTGTGAAATTGCCATACATCAATCAATCAAGAGGAATTCAGCAACCTGTATACTTAAACTTTCTTGCTTCTGTTTCAAAATTTTAATTACTTCCAAATTTTTATCTGTCTATTAGCTAAAGAGATGCGTGAGGAACTTGCTCCTACGCTTGCCAAAATAGCCAAGAAAAGATCTAAGATGGCACCTTAGCCCCAAGCAAAAGTTGATTAGTAAGTCTGTGGATCTCTTAAAGTTATTGCCTATCATGCTGATTTGTATTCTAATGATTTGAAGACTTTGTTAATTAATCTTCTTTCAGCAAACATGTCATCAATATCGAAATGACACGGAAAGAAAGGCTTACCAAAGGCTTTTATTGTTTAGTGTATGTGCAATCTTTCAACACTCCAGCCTCAATAAATCCCTATATATATATATATAGACAGTCTTGTCTATGTAACAGCTAAGTACTTAACGATGGATGATTTGATTTTTGGTCTCGAAGGAAGGAGATGCGTAGGCAAAATCCGAGCTGGAAGTATGGAAGGGTAAGGTGCCGTGGTGTATTGACACTTTAGATTGATATGTAACATATTTGTGTTTGTGTAAGAATGATAGATGTTATCCCTTGCTTACATTATCATATCGGTCCTTCCCTCAGACTATTGCCTGCACGTAATATCAGGTCAAGAAAGCTGCATCGAAAAAATGGAAGTCTCTTCTTTCATATGTAAGTTTCTGGTACATGTTTATATGAGGTACCCAACTCTAAGTTATTTAGGGGGTGTACTAATGGGAGATTTGTTTTTCCCTTTTATCTTATATAGCAGAAAAATCCTTATTTTAGACAAGCTGGAGAAGTCTTTGGTGATAAGCTTATGGTGATGGCCAAACATATTTTTTTTAAGTATCCCAGCCTACAATTCCCATAACTCAAAACCCAACACAGTTAATTTGTATAATACAAATATAATTCTAATCTTTCTCATCTTTTTGACAAATGCAGGATGCTCGTAAGCGGAGTGCTGCCGAAAAAACAGGCTGAAGTTTGTAAGCAGAGAATGGGGTTGCTAAGGAAAGATAGTATTGATCTGAAATAGAGCATGTGTATATTTTGATTTCGCATAACTGATTTGCTTGTTTCAGATACAACAATACCTTTTGATCTTGGACTCCTGGTATTAAACAATTGGATGTAACTAGAAACTACGTTAGTATTACATTAGATAGGCTCAGAAGCACTTATTTGGCAATTAGGATCCTTTCGTATTAGCTCTTTAATATATGTTGTGAGTTAAATTTAGCCAAGTGTATCTTGTTTTTGTCCTTCACATGAGTACTTTAAACCTATGTGCTGAGTTAATTAGGATAATTGATATGATGTTCTTTTGGTTCATATTGCTTCTAAATTTAACCATTGTACGTAGGTTACAATTATTTTTGCCGTGTGAAGTCTAGTTTAGAGTTAGTATCGGCCTAGTTCAACAATGATTACGATATGGAAGAATAGGCTGGGTTTGCTACTGCATTTAAAATCTGCTTGGTTAGTTATATATTAGATTAAATTTATTCTGGGAACATGGGTAATGTCTTAAATCTTTAGTGGTGGAAGTTGTTGACTACCTAGGTTATTAGTTTAGTTTTAGTTTACTTTATAGTTCAATGTCCAAAACCCCTATTCACACCTACATAATGTAAATATATAGTAGTTTTTAGTTTTATGCAAATAGTTTTTTTTTTTTTTTTTTTTTTTTTTTTTTTTTTTTTTTTGGGTAGGAAATAGTTTAGTTTTTAAGTTGAACTTTAAGTTTAGAGGTTAATAGTCCCCTCGTAGGATGGACGTTTTCTTACCTTTTACTAGTTAACACTTCCTCCGTTCTTTTTTACTTGACCCGCTTTAACTTTTACACTATTCACCACCCCTCTTTTGACCGTCTTTTGTGACAATATGTAAGGAAAAACATATTCATGCGAGATTTTTTTGAATTCGTCTCAATAAATATTATTATATTATATAACTTTTATAATTTTTAATTATGGAAATTTAAAGTTATTGATCGTTAAAGTTTTGCATTGACAAGTGTGATAAAAGAAACAGGTTAAGTAAAAAAGAACAGAGGAAGTATATTTTTGGAGGTTAAGTTTGATTTTACTTTGAATGTTAGGGTGGAGTGACTGAGTAGGGTTTCTTGAGACAATTGCTTCTAAAAATGGTGTATAGAGTGGGTGATAGGTGAATTTGCTTATAATGCTTGTTTCTTTGGTTGATTACTCCTTTGTCACTAATGAGAGAATCAGTGGCTCGGTGATCCTGTCATGAAGCCTGAGCCAATGAGACCCTTTTTTCCCTTATCTGTTTATTATTGTTGCATATGCCATCTCTCATTTCCTCCATAATAAGGTGATAGTCGGGGAGATTTAAGGAGGCCAACCGGAATGGTTTGGGTATTGACGTATTGTTGGACTTAATATTGGAATTCAATATTTGGATTTGATGAGATTTTCAAAAAATGTTGTTTTAAAATAATATACTCTGTATGTAGTACATGTATAAAACAACATTGTCTTACACAAAAAGAATGTTTGAGTTAATCTCATGTGCCAGTATATAAAAGAATTTTTTATCAGACATAGAAAGGGAAGTAGAAATGATCCAAAACTATTTTCTATAA